TATCACTTGTCTTGTGAAGTTTTCTACCAGAATCAAATTCGTGCATTTCCTTGATTTGAAATTTAAATTTTAGAAGCCAACAGGAATTCTACAAAGGAGAGATCTGCATTTCTCTTTTTTTTTGTCAGAGGAACTAAACAGAAATGACGTCGTCACCCACATTATTCTTTTCCTCTTTTTTTTAACATTTAAATGCCAAAAATGGGGCAAACTTTGGTTTTGGTAAGAGCTGTTCACCACAGCTGAACGTTTTCCAATCAGGGGAAGCTGACTGGGTGCTTCCTCCTGCCTGCGGTGGACGCTTGTTGGACTGGAAACCAGTGTGGTGAAGAACTGCATACCACCTTCATTAACTTCATTATTCAATTCAATTCTTCAATTGAATTGAATAACATTAACATTAACTTTAAAAACTCTCTCGAGAGCTAGACAGCTGTTGGTGACAGCTGGTGGCCTGAAGACGCACGCCCAGTTTTTATTCTCTTACCTCACATTACTAAAACAACAATGAAAGGCAGAAACTTTAAAAATACTTTAATTCATTTTGCAGAAATAACAGAATTGCATTTCTGGCTTTTGTCATTTATTTTAATTTTCTAAAATTCGGATTTGAAAAATTAAAGTTGCTCTTCATCTTTGAAAATCTGTTGAGCTTCTGACTTTCTTAATTAATTCTTTCTTAATTAATTTTCCACAGTGAATTAAAGGAGACCGATTCTGCTTTTTCCTGTCTGTCTGCCATCTCTGTACTGATCCAATGTTCAACATGGCCAAAGTCTGTAATAATGAGGTCAGAGTGTGTACAATACAAGTTCAGGCTTCAGACTGATGCAAACATCCTGTTTTCCTATTCTTGGGTCTATATGATGGCAGAGAAAGTGAATATACCTAATATGGTCATCTCAGGCACAGAAGCCCCACCCACTTGCAGCTGATGAGGGGCACCCAATCAGTAGAAAACGGGCTTAAAGGGAGCTAAAATACCTGAGTTGCTGCATCAAGGCTAAACATGATGTAAATAAAGATTACCTTGAACTGCAATCCACCTGAAGATGCTCCAGAGTGGACTGGATTAGGACTAAGCATAATAGGTCCCCTTTAATCGATATAATGCCATTTTTCATTAGTTGTATTTCTTAAATTTTGTGTAGAGATTCTGCAGCGAGCTGGCCTACAGCCATAAAATTCAGAGTACAAACATGACAATGAAATTAAAACGTCTGCGTGTTTCCCCCAGTTACTATCGCCAGGCATCGTATTCACCACCAAAGACTAATGGGCAGTAGCCGAGACAGTTTGAATTAACAGTGGAACAAAAATTAAAAATCAACTACAGCCAGACATCAAACATCAGGATTTCTACGTTCAGAAACTCCACGTGATGCTTGTGATGATCTTTGTCCTAGCAAGGAAACCACAAACAAGTGAGAGTGACCGTTTTACATAACGTAGCAGAAACTGAAGGGAAAGAAAGTCCTGAATTCCTCCCACAATCTGACCACATGAAAAGTTGGCTTGGAGGGATGGAAGGATGGATCGAAGGGTGTTGGCTGGGCGATGGTGCTGGGTTAATCTCTGAGGGTCGTGGTCTCATGGGCAGTGTTGCTGTTGGAGAAACTGTACAAACTAGGCACATTGTTTGTAGAAAAAGTGTATGAGGTGCATCTACAGAGACAAAATTAACAAGTGAACTGCTTTCAGGTGATGACAGTTTGGTATTGTTGTGGAATAAATGCGAACGTAACTGGTGTTTAATGTGTGTGAAAGCAGAAATGACAGGAAAACAAAAGCAGCAAGTGAGGCTTTGAGATGACACTGGAGAAATAAAACCCATATAGACGAGCTGCTTTTAAACCTAGAATATTTATGGTTTTTCTCAAAAAAAAATAAATAAAAATGTTGGTAATACTGAGTAGTACAAAGTACTAATTGAAAGACTGCATGTTGGAGACAGAAAATGCCCGTAGTTCAAAAACAAGAGCTGGAAACAGAGACACGTCCAGTCTCTACAAGAGCATCAGAGACAAATGTGGAGGTGGTATTCACACGAGATCTTTAGAAGAAAATTACAACACCAAGTACACGTTTGAATTGTGAGAAAATTTTACGCCCCTTTATCAGGAGAATGGTACATTCCCCTCACAGATGTGAAAGACATGCCGTCATCAAAGACAGATTCATTTATGTACAGCTGTGGTACAAAAACCAGGAAATAAAAACCCTGTGAGGTTAGTTCAGGAGTGAAGTATAGGCCTCTAAATGCTCACCGGGATCGAATCCACCGAACCCAGAGGTGAACTCCTTAGCGTTAAATCGTGTGCAACAGAAGGCCAGTAAAAGTGAAGAACCTGCGATTTAAAGCTGCAGCTACACGGTCACACGCCGCGCTGTGCCGACGCCACGTATCCCAGAATTATGGCTTTCAAACACAGGAAAAGCTTTGACTGGTTCAACTAATCCAGGTTTACTACACACTACAGTGCGAAATGTGCCAGATATGTTTATCACTAAGAGGCACATCTGCCTGCACAGACAGGACTGAGTGTCAACCATCATGCTGCACCAGTTAAAATGTGTAGAAAAAGCTGGTTTTTAATATCAGATGTTTTGAATTCATTCTTTGAAATCAGATGGTTTCTGATTTAACTAAGCTTAACTTTTCTGTGTTCAGACCAGTGGTTCCCAATCTTTTAAACTTTTCCTGTTCCAGTGTAGAAATGAGGGAAAAAATAAGATAATAGGACACAATGTACATAGTAAGTATGTCCAAGGTTTCAAATAATGAAGTCAGCATATGTACATGAGCTACGTGAGCTTAAATCCCGTGCTTCATACTGCTCTGATGCTCTGCTTCAGACAGTTTTTATAACTCTCGTTTCTTTATGAGGCCAAATAGAGAGGAAGTGCCAAATAAGGTCATACTGGCACCTGCAGGTTTTGAGGGGCAACTAATCAGAAGAAATTTGACTTGAAGAGAAGGGGGAAGGGAGCTAAACAGCTGAGTGGCGACACTAAGATTAGTTTTTTTTCTACTCTTAGGTCTGTATGAGGCCAAAAGATGGATATCCTTAATTTGGTCATCTGAGACACAGAGTCCCCACCTAGCTGCAGTTTCAGAGGGGCGGCCAATCAGAAGAAAGCTGACTTAAAGAGTGGGTGGTCTTAAACCAGGAAGAGTATGGGGCTGCACAGACACATTTAGATAGTTAGGTTTATTATTTTTGTCCTGGTTTTTAAATTTAATGGTATTTAATGAGGTGATATTTCTTGGCACCAACAGTGTCTTTATGACAGATACAACAGAAGGGTTAAAACTCTCCTCTGTGCCTCTTTATGAACACTTTACATGTACTTTAATTTTCCTTGTTACTACGAGCCCCCACTGGTCCACATGCCGTACTTTGAGAACCCGGGTCTGAATGAGAGAGGAGCTAAAACTGGTCGTTTCAAACAGAAGAGGAACTAAGAGGCTGCAGTGAGGCCCAGTGTAAGATAAATAAGGATTATTCTGAACAGTAATCATACAAAGCTACTCTGGTAGATTGAGCTGGAAACACATAACATCCACTTTAATACAAGCCATGTCCACTTGTCTCAGTTTGCATAGCTGAATTGTGAGCAGTGTATTGAAAGAGTGATATTCTGTTTTAAGACTTTAACAGCTGACAGAAATCACACAACGAGTTAAAAAGGGCAGAGACTAGAGCAAAGTTCCCATAATAAACAGGATGCAGATTTTAGTGTGTGGATTTGCAGCTGCTGGTTTAATCATGTGAGATTTCTTTGAGGAAAACTCCAAAACATTTATGTTCCTCCCTCTCCATCTTAAAAAATAATTTCTCATTTTCTTTGTACTGGCACTGAAAACATGTAGTACTGACACCCAGTCCGATCCCTTATCATTCATCGCGTCAGCCTCTCTAAAGGCCTTAAAGCAAACTAAATTCTTATTCAATTAAAACTGACCAAATATGCTTTATTTGTTTCATCTAAAACTAGGACAAATGTGATTTTCCCAGGTTAGGAGTAAAAGTGCATCAGTATTTTATCAAAAATGCACAAAGACCTGGGACTTCTATAACGACAAGATGAACAACAGCATATCCGTATGCAAACACATACATTACCTGTGCTTTTTCAGAACAGTAGCTTCCTGTTTGGTTTTGCTCGTACGACATGACTCTGAGAGTCTTTAGTGTGAAAGGTGCTGCTGGATGCATAGCATAGCCCTGAGTTACGACTTACAGAATAAAGAGCTATTCCTTCTAATCATCTGACACAAATACACAAAGTTTAGAGTCCACAGGGATCTGGCATTAATCGGCTCCGAGAACCAAATTCATAGCGAGCATTTTTAGTAAATACATTCAGCCTCTTGGTCAGGAAACATTGACTAAAACATTAAACGATATACGTTTTCTCTCTGGCACCGATAAATAAAGGTCTTATTACTGACGGAGGACATGTCACTTGCTGCGGGGGATTCTTTGGCCAGGCAGATCAGGGGTTTAAAAAAAAAAAAATCACAGCATGAAAAGCTCAAAACTGTGAAGCGGACTGTTTGTGGATGTCAGGAAAAAGGCAGTGTCTGAGCAAATCCGCCTGCAAGGCTTAGAAAAATATTCGAACAACTGATTGTTTTTATTACTTCAGAGCTGCAGAGAACAAAAGCCTTTGCAAAAAGAAAACACTTTTATAAAAGACGTACCGCACCGAGGTAAAGTGAAAGAAATTCATACAATGCTGAGTGACATGGGCCTAATTCTAAACATGGATCCAGGATGACGCATACCTCCATGCTAAATAGCATTACTTTTAAAAAAAACACCAACTTGCACATTTTATCCTTAAAAATTTGCACCCATTTCCCCGCTTATTATCAAATTAGTTTTTTGAAACTCAAATAAGGACCTTTTTGCAAAACAATTACCAACAGAAACAATCCTTCTACATTCTCCTATAACATTCAAAAGGTTGAGGTTTTTCTTTTTGTAGTGTTGACCCCCCCCCGTTCAATTAAATACCTGTCAGTTAATCTGGGAGTGAAAGCAGCTTTCAGCTCTATAAACTGTGCAGCATTAATACGATCACGTGTCTGTACTCTAAAAATTTCACAGCTGTGTGAAATGATGCTTATGTTTGTGTAGCAGCTTTACCTTAAACAGTCGTTTGTATTAGTTTGTTATTGTAGAATCTTTAAGCGGCCATGATTACAACTAATCAAAAAAAAACAAAAACAAAACAACAAAACAGACGTTGGGAAATACTTCATCCCAAGCCCAACATTTGGTATCAAGCCTTTTCAAGGGGAGAAAAGAAAAAAAAATATACAGTGTGCAAAAACATAAAAAGGAGCAACACCCGGGGCAAATACTTCACTCCTTTTGGGGTTAGAGGCGGTCAGATGGTGTCCGAGTTTAACGTGAACTGTACAGGGTCCTGTATAAAGCTGGAGGGAGGAGGTGGGACAGTGTTTAAAAGGTGAGGTAAAAAGGGGTAGGCGGGGCGCTCTCTCTCATTCTCAGGGTGCACTACCTGTGGACCGGCAGGTGCAGCCCGTTGAGGGGGTTGAGCGGGTGGGGCAGGGGAGGGTGCAGCTCCAGCTGGGCCAGCAGGGAGAAGTGGTCCGAGGGGATGTGCGGGTGGGGGCAGCCCGTGATGTTGTTGTCTATGAGCCACTGGCTGTCGAGCGGTCCGAGCATGCCCAGGACGCTCATGTGGGTCTTGGAGAAGAAGATGTAGTCGATCACACCCTGCAGACACACAAACGCCACCTGATGTTAACTCTGTGTGGGAGTCACTTAAAACAACACCAACCAATTTAATGATCCACTGCTTCCCCATTTCCATGGCAGCACATCCTCAATTTCTCGTGTTTTGGTGTCTCGCACCAAAGTTACAAATGGTCTGTATAGCGCTTTACTAGTCCCTAAGGACCCCAAAGCGCTTTACACATCCAGTCATCCACCCATTCACACACTGGTGATGGCTGCTACACTGTAGCCACAGCCACCCTGGGGCGCACTGACAGAGGCGAGGCCCTCTGACCACCACCAGCACGGGTGAAATGACTGTCCAAGATGGGGCTCGAACCGGCAACCTTCCAATTACAAGGCGAACTCCCAACTCTTGAGCCACGATCGCCCCCTACAAGCAGAGGAGGCGAGGAAAAAAGCTTTTCTTGTTTCTCTAATGTGTGCCATCCATCTGTCTGTGACCTCAGCACACCTTGCATAATGCAACAGGAATGGAGAGGAGAGAGGAGGATGCAGGAGGAAATATCAGTGAGAATGCACAGGGAGCGTTTTTACCATCAGTATATAAAAGACACGTGGCCACAGCGAGGGGAGGAGACAATGACGCACAAATCAAAGAAAGGAGAAAAATCTGCTGTTTGTCATTCGTCCGTAAAACATTTGAATCTGCCGAGACTCGTACAGAAAGCCCGAGCTCTTTCTAACAACTGTGGAAAATGTTTAAAAAGGTCCAGTTGGTCTATTTTATTTACCCCTTTCCTCACTTTTCCACACATCACTTCCTGTCCTCTTTTCCTCATCACTGATTGGCTGTTGTGTTTCTTCTTTAATGACACCACCCTTTTCACTGAATCACAGAGAGGCCCTTTGGGTGACTTTTGGTTACTTGTTCTTTTTACCTGCAGTTTAACCAATCACTTCATGACTTAAAGCCTAATCTAGTTTTTCTTTGCTTTTCAGAGTAAACATCATTTAGCACTGGAGTGCAACGTGGCAGGTTCCCCTCGATGATACAAATCTTTACCTCTGAGCCTCCCACTTAACAGGTTGCATAAAATAATTCAGGTTGTTGCTCAAACTTCCACGAGTGGACGAGTGCGAGTGTCGTGACTAGTAATGTTCTTGTTGATGCTGTGCTGAGATGTCCAAACTTAAGTGTTAATTGATATTGTGTTGTTTTTAATCTGTTTATTACATTTTTGTGTCATTTTATTTCACAATGAGAAGGAGCTGGTTTTGTTTTTTGCTTCTTTTATGAGTGTTTATAGAAAATCCCTGTTTGATGTAGAGCTCCAGTTTCTAATTTAGTTTCTAATGAATCTATTTTTTTTGCATGAACACATTAGCTCCTCAGATGAGTAATCAACGCTAAGAGAAGCAGCAATGAGTCAAGCTCGTTATTAGTATAAACATTAATCACCGAAAGTGTTGCCAGTGACTCCGTGGGATTCAGCCAGTGATATCGCCAGTGGGCAGAGACTAAAATTGTAAATAAGTAGATGAGTCTTACAGACGCAGGGTTAGTGAGAATGGCTCGTCTGCACTGTCTGAAGAGCTACATTAAAAAAAGTTGAGCCTGTGGAAGGTTTATTAATGGCTGGCCGTAGATGCCTCGTCTCAGAGGGTATCACTGTGAGCTTTAGCTCCCTGTGGGTCTCCCCGTCGCTTTCTGCCTAGGTCTCGCCCCCACTTGTAACCTCAGACATCCCCGTGTGGAGGCTGGAGGGACTAAACATTGCTCATGTGAAGATTACAGTCAAAAACACCCACCAATCTGGGCTTAAATTCCCCAACAGAGAACTCACTGGAAAGTCTGTGCATGCATGCAAGCATACATATATATACATATATTAAAAAAAATAAGGTAATAAATAACTGTTAAATAACTGACACCCCAATACTGAATAAATTAACCATTTGTAAGACAAGAAAAAGAGAGCAGAAAAAAAAGAAGAAAAGAATTTGATCGTGAACTGTCTGGCTCGATGACTCATTAGAAACCGAAGCTGAAATGATGTGACAAATCAAAACCGCGAGGCAGCTTCGCACGAAATAAAGCGAATACGAGTTTTTGCTGCGGAGCGCGCTGAAGGGTAAAAATCACGGCTCAGAGGCCGCGATGTTCAAAGTTTTCCGTTCCCGCTGACAGCTCCCACTGCAAAACTCAGATATACAAAAGTGAAACACACAGCAACAGTATTTTTTTCTCTCGATTGAACTTAATGCCCACCTGTGTAATTCACTCAGTGATACAGAGTTCCCAGCACCAAATTTAACGGAGGCAGTAACAAAAAAACCTCAGTACAAAAAACCTATTTGACAGAATTCATCGTTGACGTTAAATTTGTCGCTGTAACACGTTCATCTACACGACTGAACCTGCACCTGAAACAGCAACATTATCCACAATAAATATAGCAGGTAGTGATTTTCTGTATTTTAACGTGGCAGAGACGACTAGGAATATCACGTTTTCATATGCAGCCCTTTTGTCTTGACGACACCCTGTCGATGCGACGGCTACAGCGATCGACCAATGAAGGGTAACGGTCCATCTCTGGAAACATGCAAAGTACTCATTATGAGGCTGGAGGAGTAGCGGAGGCATGATTTGCCAGTTTATTAGCTGGGAAAAACCACTCGGTTAAGTTTAGGGACTAAACCTTTCTTGTTTAGGTTTAGGGAAACATGGCCATCTGTTCCCTGACTCACAGGGTTATGGTATTAGTGTGACAGCTTCATAATGCCTGAAACCGCAAAGGTCACAAAGCACCAAAATGAGCCATGGTGGTGGTTTTTGATAAAATCAAGTGACACCTCAAGGATGAACACGAGCTTTGCGCATCAGCATCCGTCCCAGTGTACATGGAGACTAATTTTATTCCTCTCTCTTACTTTATTTCTTCCTTTGGAAAGTCCGCGCTGCGAGGTGACACGCTTAAAAACTGTCAGCATCTGAGTGCAGCGAGGGTCTCCTCAAAACCACAGACCATCGACGTGTTTTACATGATAAAGACGCTTACAGCACAGTGAAAGTTTGAAAGTTCGAAACAGATACAAATTAAGATAGTGACAACAGGATGTGTAGGCTATACTGCAATTTGTAACGTGATATTACTCCACACCAGCGCCTGTTATAACATGCCCCAAAGATAGGATAAGCTTTATTAGTCCCACACGTGAAAAATTTGTTGTTACAGATGTTAGACAAATTCTTCAATTATCTGTGAGACGCACAGGCAGACAAAAAAACAAAAACAAAAAACAAAAAAACAAAAAAACCTCATTTGTGCCTTTTAATTCCTGCACACATCAGTTTTTGTGTAGCGAGGAGGAAAATAGTGGATGTTAGTGAGAATATGAGCATTATTATTACTAGAGCAAGATGATAAAGACAGGACAAAAACTGATATCTGTACACGGCGGCTCTAAAAACAGTATGCTAGCACTAAACTAGTAGCAAACATACCCAGATCTTCAACAGTTAACAGTAGCAGTCAGACACAGCACTGTAGCTATTTGCACAGTATAAGCACAAGCTGCCATTCACACACTCACCAATACACTCATGCTTCTTCCTGCTTCTTCCATCTAAAGTTTGTACTGTTAACCGGAAATCATGCGTGACAATCAAGCTCATGTGGATTAATGAGAAACTGATGCAATGACCACTATTTCTTGGTAGCAGCTTCCTCTCCGATGGGGTCTCTCTGGTTCAGATGCGTGAGGTCCCCACCATGAATAATTGCTGCTTTGGAAAGGCTTTCCCAAGAATAAAGACACAATCATTACCTAACCCTGGCTTGCTTAACATGCAGAAACAAGACTAGCTGGCAGAGTGACTCACATTTCATGATAAATATGATCCAGTAACGTAAACCTTTACATTTAAAAAAGAAAGTAACTGGTAAGCATTTTTTTCATAAGTTGGGTAGCTTCTCTCTAAGTGAGCTCACTCTGTCTCACTTCACTTACAGAAACACATAAGCTGACTCACAAAAATCGGGCACGACCCACCAACCAACTTCCACAGACCTACAACAGTGAACTCGTCAAGTTCAGTTGCTTTACTCAAACCAGGATAAGGTGAGCTGTCAGATCACTCAGTAGTAAAAGGGGAAAGAACATCTGCAGCGGGACATCTGTGTCCTCTCACAGAAGCTGATTAGAGCCAATGTGACTCACTGCACTCTTTGACCAAGTTATCACACAAACACAGAATGAATCTTGGCGTCCTGAAGCGTGGGGCAGGGAACAGGGAACGTTTCGGGTGGGTGAAAACAACTCCCCCTCTAACTTTTCAGTCAGACACATTTGCAGGACCAGAAATTCCCGACCCTGCTCTACGCCCTCTCTGAGTCTGCTTGTTGAAGGTTTTTTCCTTCCACAGAGGACGTTTGGGGGTCTCGCTCAGCTTGACTTTTGACATTTTGGGCACTATATAAATTACTGTTACGGCTTCAAATGGAAACGAGTTTATTTGTGTTTTTGTTTTACCTTGAAGTCATATGTGTAGTTGGTGTAAGGCATCAGATTGCTGTCGTAGGCGCTCTTGAGCTGGAAGCTGTGTGTGATGCTTCCATCCGAGTTTCCATTCTTGCCGTTGCAGTTGAAGTTGGTCAGACATTCGCTGTAGCGTAGCTCCTTAAAGTCCTTGTGGTTCTCGGCCACTCCTCCGTCGCTCAGATACTCCACCACACCTGCATCAAAGAGCAGGAACATTAGCGAGATATTAATCAGAACTTTATTTAATTATTAAATCCTTTAATTAAGGAAAAGAAACTCATGACATCATTCGTGGCTTTAAAGGGAAACTGATGATGGAAACCACGCTGGCAACAAACAAATATACAGACACTTTCCCATTGCCGGTAAAAACAAAGAAAAAACTAGATAATAAAATAAAATAATGAAGGTTCACATTTTTTAACACGGATAGGTCATTTTAATCAAGCTAAATCTATTTTTCTTTGTTATGTATTAATTGTGTCAAGTTATCAGGTGTCCAGAATGTATCAGGTGGGAACTTTAATCAGGTTTGGTTGATTTATATGGAACGACCCTGGTTCCTGATAAGTGACAGAGCCCTACCGGAGTCAGGCAGCGAGTTGAGGTCAGCGCACAGGACGATGGGGATTGAGGACGGGTCAGAGGTCGGCGATCCCGTTGCCACAGAGCCCGAGGCCCTCTCAGCAATGCTCTTTAACTCTGACAGGAACATCATGGTTTGGATCAACTTGACGTCCGAGTACTCGGGGTCCCAGTGCATGTGGGCGTTGGCCACCAGGATGAGCTGCCTCTCCTGAGGCGGCTTCATGCCTTAAAAAAAAAAAAAAAAAAAAGTCAAGTAGGGCTTTAATTAAAATTTTGATTTACACATTATTAAAAAAGATAAAATGTAAAAAACAATCTTCTCATGCTCTTTTTAATTCACATCCTTTTACTTCTATTAAAAGTTCAAATTCACTCCCCAACAGGTTCACATACATTTATATAAACTATAGTTCACTGTAGGGCTGTGCGATATGACCAAAATCTCATATCCCGATATAAGAATTCTATCGTCCCGATAACGATATAAATCACAAAAATGTAACATTTTCTGTAAAATCTGTGAATCTCGGGTCGAGTGTTTTAACCGATGCATGAAACGACACATTTTTAGACACAAGTTGTAACGGCGCCGTTTTCTTTGTGAGTATTTATTACACGGCGTGCTGCGGGGAAAAGCCTGTTCTAACGTTTGAGTCTAAGGTTTATTTTTTAGCACCGGCTGGCGGCTCTTTTTTACTTCTCATCCGTAAATAATCTGCTCTTTCACGTGATTCAGTTTATTTTGAACTTTAAGAAATGAATATAGCCACTACAGCGACCATCAAAAAGATGAAAAAAATATTGCCGTAAACAGTTTATTTTGCGACACCACGAAACAAACGATAGCATAAAATGAAACGATAGACGTTTTTATATCATCATCCGATATATATCGTTATATGAACAGCCCTAGTTCACTGAAATGTAATTAAAGACCAATACAAACTTAATGAAAAATACTTGATTCCCTTAAAGTTAAAAAAAAAAAAAAAAAAACGTTGTCACCATTTGTACTCGATCATGTGACATCCTAAAAGTCTTCATAAAGAAGCAATGAAAGGAAACTTTTTCCACAAGCAGCAACTTCCAGAAACAACGGCAGACAAGCCGAGAAGCTGCAGCTCCTGTTGTGGCCGCTTGAATAAGCAGCAACTTAACAGAAACTTAAAAGCAGAAATCAGCATTTTACAGCCCGACACAAAAACAACTTTTATTTTCCACATATAGTTTTCACATATGATCAACGAATTTTATTTATGCTTTTACGAACAAAAAGTTCTATGAATAAAGCCGTGAAAGATGCATATAAAAAGTACACGAGGAAAGAAATTAACTGACAATGATTCTAAATCTGAGTTGTGGTTTTTTCTTCACTTATTTTGAGAATAAGACTTTAAAATATATGAATTACACAATTCTACACACTTTTACTGTACAGACATTTATAGTTCCACAAAATTATACTGGGGAAAAAAAAACAGACGCTATGTAAGCAAAATAGTACATCACTTTCACTGACACATGAAAAAAAAAAAAAACTAAAAATAAAATAAATAGGATGTAAAAGTCCCCTGAACAAATCCTCATCGTAGTCTTATTTCAGATGCAGTAAACCACAGAACTATGAGGCAACTTCAGAAACTTAAAAGCGCTGACAGAGTAAAATATTTAAAAAGGAAGAGTGCGATACAGTGAGCATCAGTAAACCAGACAGGGAACGACCACAAACAGACGTTTTACTGTAGCTCGCTGGGAGTGCAAATGGCCTGTGCCTGTCTCTCGCTGCAAACCTTAGTAAGTTAACTAACTAATTAAATACATATAAGCTTTAAAGCACTGATATTATGTGAGCATCATCAGCCACAGTGAGGCAAAACACCTTCAAACACACGATCTCCGTGGACACAACTTCACTAAAACGCATTTTCCGTACGACGGCCCGGACCCAACAGCAGGACCTGTATCTGTGTGCAGGTAGATACAGGAGGAGCACTGCCAGCGCCCTACACGGTGACCTCCAGCGGGCAAGTTTCTGACAAACTGTCAGGAACAGACTCCATGAGAGTTGCGTGGAGGCTCGCTTTGTGTTACACTGTGATAATCGAGTGTACCTTAATTAACTTTTTAACAGCGTATATTCTGTTCGGTTTACTTGTCTTTTAAACATTGCATCTTTTCTTTCTCTCTTTCCATTTCCAGCCTTCGTTGTAACTTCTTAACTCTCTTTGTAAAGCACCCTGAAGCCTCTGATTAAAACCCAATTGTGACACCTTGTGGGAAAATACATTACTGCAGTTTTACTGTTTAATATTTTGGGCGAAAATAATTGTAGATCACAATTTTCAAGCTGAAAACAACCAGATTTTTTAAAAATCTTGCTCTGTAACTACTGAACTGTGTGCATGTATCACATGTAAGTAATAACGCTGGTTTTATAAACTAAATTTCCAAGTTACAGAGGCAGGCGAGTCAGTTTCACATGCATGGTTATGTTGTCATGGATAATTTGATAATATAACAAAGCTGAAGCCATTTTTGGGTCAGGAGAAAACAACTTGGAATTACCTAAACTGCTAAATTACAAAATGAAAGTCCTTTCTTACCCCCGGAGAACATGTCCTTATTGACCTCGAGCAGCACGGCCACCCCGATGTTGTCTTTGGTCATCACTCTGTTCAGCATGACCTCTGAACCCTCAGAGTTAGCCATGGCTACCTGATTGAACTCCACAGTGTGTTTCTGGATCAAAGTGAACCTGTGAGAGAATCAAACAAGCAGCAGAAATGTCCACGAGGGCTTTGAAAATGCACTAGTTCCATATGAAAAGTTGTTCCTCCTTTAAATCTGCTCCTCGTCCTTCATTTTTCCTGGCTCAGAGAGAACCAGGCTGGGCGACTACAAAGGAAAGTAAATGCAAACAGGCTGCGATGAGTCTGTGATGCAGTCTTATGTTTGTGACCATTTCTAAATAGATCACATGAAAAATCATACATCATAAAACACAGCGAGCTGAGCTCCATCTATGGCAAAGATTACCCAAAAATGACATATTTATAGTAATAATATAATTATAATAATAAAATACATTTTATAGCTGAAACTGGAAAAAAAACAAAAACAAAACCAAAAAACAACTTGAGCTCAGATTTTAATAAGAGGAATTTTTTTTTTTTATGTAGAAAAACTTTTCATCAAATGTATTCACACAGTTTCAAATCATAAAGGCATGTTTTGTAACGTGTATAAAATAAAGCTCTTAAACCCACTTCTCAGTCTTGAAGAACACGGCACAGCCGTCCACATGTTTCCTCTCCTGTTCTGAAACCAGTTTGGCACGAGATTTTGGACAGAAGTAGCCGTCATAGCCGCGCTCCTTTAGTGTTTCCAGAAACAACATGTAGTACTGCTCCGTCTCCACCTCCTGCAAAAACACACAAGGTAAGAAAAGTCACGTAAAGGAGCAGATGAGATATACAGGGAACGCACACAACATTAAAACACTGACAGGTGAAGTGAACACCGCTGAGGAAACCTTGTAAACTGGATAAGGAAGGGCTCAAAGTCATAACCAGGGTTCTTGTACTATTTAAAGATACACATCAGTGCTTTTAAGATCTAAGTAAATACAATTACTTGTGGCTACCAGTGTGGCCCCTCAGTCTCCGAGTAGATACAAGCTCTGAATTATCACATTCACAACTTTGGGGTGTCCACGCAACCTGCCCGGTGATGACGACACCCCATCAACTTTTCACGGTTGTGGGGTTAAAAACTAAGGATGAACATTCTGATTCCTTGAAATTCACTCATGACTGTAAGTGTACTTCACTCAAAAAAGCCAGTGAAGTCAAAATGAGCAGTCAAAGCCGTCATGATTTACTAAAGAGATGAACGCTGGTATTTTTGCTGTGGCTTTATCGGAGGAAAAAACTTTGAAAGGAGAATCAAATCACAGAAACATGATTTAAGAAGGCAAAATTTGCCATGTTTGATGAATGAAAGGGGAGTGTATCATAATGAAGGTGCAGGTGGATGGCTCAGAGCTCTGTGTGCAGTGCATGAGTTTTAGCTCCATCCTGTTCCTCACGTCTCTCAGATCCATACAAGATTGAAACGGCTGCCAAAATCTAGAAATTATCGGTATGCATGTGGCACAGTCACTGTATCATTTTATTAATATGCAGCTTTGTCAGGGTCTGATGATAAATAGTGTTTTGTTTCTCTCCTGCATGTCCTGCAGGTTAGCTGTTACACAGACGGACTAGTTGGTAATATACAGCACTTCTCAGGGAAGTTTCCACTCAGTGGAAAATAAAGCCAGCTTTGTATGGGCAGGATTAATCAGTAACATCTACCTCTTTATCTTCAATACACAATGGCCCGGTTGTGCTGACAGGTGAACGCTGGATACTGTGGATTGATCCAAGCAGTTTATAGCAGCTCTGCACACAGTCTAATGATTAGAGCGGAGAATAGTCCGAAGAATAATAACAACCTTTGTTGACACGATTGTGGGGGAATCACCTCAGGGGACGGACAGATGGCTACAGAAGGCAATAGTGCCAATTAAAAATGTTAGAAAAAACACAGCCAGACAAAAGCAGGCTCGTTTTAGTTCATCTTTATTGTTTTTGTTCAGATTTCGAAAGCATTTCTTTAACTGCAAAAATGGGTCCAATGCCTTGTGCACTGGAGAGCAGTCCGATCCCTGCCCTAGTGCATGAGGCTAAGAGGTGCTGGGAAGATGTAGCCTGGTTCACCTCAATCCACAGCACTGTGTCTGTATATACACATAGACAACCCCAATACTGATGTAACCAGATAACCATCTGAGTGGAAAGATATCCAAATTATTAAAAAATCTCTTTGTCTAAGGTACGCTATGGCTCCACCACAAATACTAGTAATATGCCGCAAAACAGTTAGTGAGGAAGATTTAAAGTATCTTACAAGGCGGCCTAGCTTTACCTGTAGGCTGATGATGTCAGCGTCACAGCTGGTGATTTCCTCCATGATTCCCTTCTTCCTGTACTCCCAGTTTAAGGCCCAGGATGGACAGTAACCATACAGCTGTCGCGTGGCATACTTGTCACACAGCACGTTGTAGCACATAACCGTGAACACAGCTACAGGGAGACAGAAGTAAAGTTTGCCAAATTACTGAATCATCTGAGAAAAGACACACGACACATCTGACAGTTACGAACAGCCTGAATAATTATTCCCCCAAACTCAGAGTCAGAATACTTTATTAATCCCTAAGGAAATCATGTGGTTACAGTTGCTCCAAGACAATAACAGTAACAGACTGAACTAAATTAAATAACACAACATATTACAAAGTTTACAAAATATAAGAAACAGCTCTACAAATAGCTCAGAACGGATCATCAATGGACTTTGCTAATGCTAACTTTAAGAAATCTGAATGTTTATCTCAGTTTCAAATTTATGAGCCAGTTTCAGTTGAAGCTTTTTCTGTCAATCAACACAGCCATAAAGCTAACGTTAAGCCTTACCAGAATCCAAATGGGGAAGTTATTAAAAAAAAAGAAATCTTCTCCAGGTACATCTGTTTTTCATCCCAGGCTGTAAAGGTGCTATTTAATGCTATAAAAATGCTGCTGGACAGTATGCAAGTTTTTATTTTATGCATGATATCAATTTTTACTGCAGCCATAAGAGTGATTATAGAAAATACCCACAGTGGCTTATCCAGATTTTCAGACGTACATAATTGTACTATAACACGGCATGCTGGGTAATGCTGGGCTTTACGGATAACCTAAAGAGCATGAGAAGCCATCAGCTCATAAACGACTCACTCCCAGTGCCACGTTATTATATGAAGGAAACTTACCGGTGGGGATCATTTGGTCTCGCTCTTTCAGAGTGATCCAAGGTCTTTGGGGGAGCTGCTCTGGGTGCACTGGAAAAACAGGCCGGGATTAGCGCTCATTTGTGCGTGACAGACACAGTGGTTTACCTGCTATGATATACCTGCAGCGCTGAGGTCTACAAAATAACTGTTTGATAAAATATGCATGAGTTCTGATAAACAGATGAGGGGTGAGGTCGTGCGTTGCCGAGCCGTTTACCTGCTAGATTGTCGAGCATGTAGTTCAAAAGCTTTCTGGTTCCATCTGGCTCCTGGTACAAATTGAGGATGTCTTGGGACAAAGGATTTCCTGCAAATAAGATAAGATAAGATAAGATAAGATAACTCGTTATTGTCATTGCACAGTCATACATAGCACAGTAGTACAATGAAATTGGAAAACTGTCCTACGTCGGCACTACATATAACACAACACGACACATCACAACGCAACACAGTACATTAACTTAGTAATAAAAAAGAAGAAGTGTATTTGAATTGCACACTGTTATTATTGCATCTTGTTATAAATATAAATATTATTATTGTTACTGTTTTTATCGTTGTTACCTCCCCCCCAAAAAAGTCCAGGGCGGTATCCAGTCAGGTCAGCTATTTGCATTGATCAGGGCTGTTGCCCTGTTGTAAAAGCTGTCCTTGAGTCTATTTGTTCGGGACCTCAGCAGCCTGAACCTCCTGCCAGACGGCAGCAGCTTAAACACCCGGTGTCCTGGGTGTGTGCAGTCCCGTAGGATGCTGCGTGCCCTCTTGAGACAGCGAGTGCTGTACAGGTCCTTCAGGGAGGGAAGAGGATGTCCAATGATTTTTTGGGCCATATTGATGACCCTCTGGAGAGCCTTTCTGTGTGCTGTGGTGCAGCTGGAGAACCACACACCGATGCAATATGTCAGCACACTTTCAATGGAGCAGCGGTAGAAGACTGTCAGCAGCTCCTTCTTCAGGTCTATTTTTCTGAGGATTCTCAGAAAGTGGAGACGCTGTTGGGCCTTCTTTAAGACCGCAGAGGTGTTAGAGCTCCATTGGAGGTCTGTGTCTATGTGCACACCCAGAAACTTGAAACTGGAGACCCTTTCCACACACTCCCCGTTGATGCTGACAGGCTGCAGCTCGGACTTCCTCCTTCTGAAGTCAACTACCAGTTCTTGTGTCTTGGTGGTATTGAGGTCCAGGTTGTTATCTACACACCAATCTGACAGCCTCTGAACTTCAGCTCTGTACGCCGTCTCATCTCCCCCTGAGATGAAGTCTCTGATCCAACGGCAGGTGGTAGAAGGAAGTCCGATTTCCAGCAGTTTAACTATTAGTCTGTCCGGGAGTATCGTATTGAAAGCAGAGCTAAAGTCAACAAAGAGCAGTCTGGCGTAACGGCCCTGCACTTCCAGGTGAGAGATGGTGGTGTGGAGCGTTGTAGCAATGGCATCTTCAGTTGATCTATTAGCTCTGTATGCGAACTGGAGCGGGTCGAGTGTGGGTGGCAAGCAGGACATGATGTGACGTCGGACCAGTTTCTCGAAGCACTTCATTATAACAGGTGTTAGAGCAACTGGTCGGTAGTCGTTGAGGCTGCTAATGTTAGTACGCTTTGGCAGTGGGGCAATTGTGGCCGACTTTAGGCACGGTGGGATGCAGGACTGGGACAGTGAAGTGTTGAAGATCTTGGTGAAGACCCCAGCCAGCTGGTCTGCACACTCTTTTAGGACCCTTGCGGTTACCCCATCTGATCCGGCGGCCTTCCTGGGGTTCACTGCCCTCCGTGTGCGCCTCACCTCATATTCCTGCACCATGAGGCTTGGGCTGCTGCTGCTGTCCGATGCTTTTGCTGCTGCCGTCTCTGGTCCCTTCACCTCAAAATGTGCAAAGACGTGGTTCAGCTCCTCCGCAAGCGCCGCGTTACCCTCAGTCAACGTGGTATTGCAAGGTTTGTAGTTGGTTAAGTGCTGAACTCCCTGCCATACCTGTCGTGAGTTGTTGTTGCTGAAGTGGTCTTCGATCAAATGAATCAGTTTTGGGTTTGTTTTTTTTGCTTTTTGTTTTGTTCTTTCTTCCTACCTTACAATTGGCCTTTGGGGGAGGGGACTAAATATATAAATACACAGTAAAAGCAATTAATCTGTGTCAGCTTATTGGAGTCTATGCGTTTGATGGCTATTTGTGACCATTAAATGTGCTTGAGTAAATGAACAACACTTTTAGCTCTCATTGAAACTCTTTGAGAGAAGCCAAAAACGTTTATACGAAGGAAAAAAAACTGTCTGCGCACTCTATTCAACAGCTACCATTACGGGAGAAATTCTCAGGTTTTTTGGTAAGCAGCAGTGATTCAGTACTCTTATATCGCTTTTCCATTAGTACCTACTCGGGTGAGTCAGGTCGCACGACGCGGTTTTTCATTAGGTGATTACCTGGTACCTTTTAGCACCTACTCAACTGGGGTTCCAAGAGATCCCAGGCAATCCAAAATGCGACGTCAAGAGATCGCATGCCACCAATTGGGTAGTCAGTGGCGTCACTCTACGACTCATGAGAGCGTCTCCATCGTGAAAACCAAAACAGACATTATTGAAACCCAGCAACGAGCAACATGGCTACAAAAAAACCCCAAAAAGTCAGAGTCTTGACGCTCGCTTTTGTTGTAGCGCTCGTGTCGCATGCAAATGATGTCACGGGATGTTTGGCTGCGTTGCTATAACGACCCCACAAACATTAGGTGGTACTCGAATTGAATGGAAATCGAATACAGGCTAAGTGGTACCGTCTAGAGATGTGTGGAGCCGATCCGAGTAGGGACTAATGGAAAAAGGGCTTCAGACATTCATTTTTGCTGCTCCAAAATCGTAATAATGAAAAACAAAACTCACCTTTTAGCCCGAGGGTTTGTAACTGGAAAAGCCTTCCAAGTTCGTAAGGCAGAACTCGTAAAAGATTATTGTTTAAAAGCAATTCCCTGCAAGAAACGAGACAAAAACAGTGTTTTTTCAAACAGTTTGGTGATTCCTCATCATTGATGTGTTTCTACTGGCATCAAAGCGTCGTCCACCACACATTCTTGTTGTCACATCTTCAGTCTCTGCTTGACAGCTTTGTTTTTGTTTGCGAGATGCTTTTATCACCCCCTCTCTTCAAAATGTTCCCTGTGTTTTTAAACATTGTGTTTATCATGATCGCTTCTCTTCATTGCTTTGAGATGGCTCTACTATCCCTTCAGTGACTCTGAAGAATTCTTCGTTTTCAAGGCTAAATACGCACGTCTCCTTAAGTGAAGTTAGAAATACCAGCAGACAGCCTACCTGAGAGAGACCATGTTGCCCAGTTCGGCGGGCAGACTGCGGAGCTTATTGGACGACAGGTTCAGGTAGACCAGGTTGGGCAGCTTGGCGATGTCTGGCGGGATGCGGGTCAGGTTATTGTCATTGATGTGCAGCGCCGTGAGGTGGGTGAGTGTCCACAATGAGCTGCTCAGGCTCCTCACCCGCCCTGCATCCAAACACAGACATCAAGTCGAACATGAGAACAAAAGCACAATGTGGATGAGATGAGAAAAGTTAACTCTCGCGGATTAAAACACAGTATTTTGGCTCTGTCATGAGCTGAGATTTAAAATGTTTCCAACATTTTCAATGCTTCCTTCCTTTAGGAATAGTTTTAGATCTGAGCTTCAAGGCCTCATTTTATTTTTAATGGAAGTGGGCCCAGAGGGAGTGAGTGAGACTGACCAGATATCTCGAGCTCGGACCAGTGAGACTTCTTCCCACTTGCCGCCTCGTCGGCTGGCATGATGGTGTAACATCTGCGGGGATCTGGAGGATCATATTTTTCCTTTGGCATACCTGTTAATCTGAAAGACACAGCAGAGATGTGCTTTAACGTTCTGCACTACAAAGAGCAGGACAACGCTACCGACGAATAACAATAATAATATTATTTGATTTTAGAAAACAAATTCAAAGAAATTATTTTATAAATACTAAAAAGAAATCAAGAAAAACCACCTCCAGTTACAATAACATGATGATAAAATTGCCACTAATAATTATTATTAAAAAAAAAAAAGATATAAAAAAACTCAGAATATATTTATAATCAAAACATTAGAACTGCATTTACATTAATAAATATATTTAATAGTATTAAAATGTTTTAAATGGACAAATAAAAACATGATAATAATTAAAATAAAGAAAACAATAAGATTAACAATAATGCTACTTCTATACAATTGCAAAATATCGTATTAATATAATATTTAGCAATTATAAGAACTGTATTTTTAAATAAAGTAATTAAAAAAATAATAAATCAATGTAAAAAAAATTAACATTTAGATTTAAGTTATTTTATATTAGATATCTGCACCTCACAAAATGAACCAATGTAAATTTAAATTAATGCCCATTTTGCAAAAATATGATGATGCTACCACCATAATAAATAAAAAAGAAACTACCACTGTGATATAAACACATGCTTGTACCAGTCAGCTCTGCTGTCATCACCACTATGGTCAAAAGGTCAAAAGTACGCATTAATAAAAGAAACTCTATAAGATATATCTATATATAGAGAAAGACTAACAGATAAAATAATATATTTTAAAAAACCAAATGATTAAAAACTTTTAAAGGAAAACGTCGCCTGTTTGCAATGGAACTGCGTTCTCTGGAAACAAACAGATCCACACTTCTTCTCACATACAGCAGTTTATACGTTTATTAAAACCTTTTTTTAAATACTCTGCAAAATATTTTCCCTCTCATTCACCCCACCCGCAGCAGTCAACCGTTTACCATCAGCAGCATCAGAAAGCTTTTACCGGCACGTCGCTGCTAGAGATGATTTCCCACCCGTAGCATACCACAGTGTCTGGACCAACACGATGCCAAACCAGAAAACCACAGAGGGTGCACCTGGAGGAGAACTGGCAGCGACACAAAGAGCTGATACTCTGAAGTAACTCTCCCAGTAGGTTTTAAACTCAGCTGGAGACATTTTTGTGATAAAAGCATCAAATTTCTGATCTTTTAGCAGCTGACTGAAAGCGCTTTCCACCCTTTTGACCAAACAGGACGACAGCAGTCGGTTATTTAGAGCAACAATCAGACATTTACTCCAGGGTTTACCTTACAGCCTCAAATCAAGGTGCCAATCAAGAGAAAACACAACACAGTACTTAAGCCCTCTGTGAAAGGCAAGTTTAAAGGAGGTCTGTGAAGACATTTATTGAATCACTGCTGCTGTCTCCAACAAATAAAGGCTGAAATTTTGCCCTTTATTTTTCTCTTGATCCCAGAAACAAAAAGAGAAAAATGTCCATTATGTTACATTTGGCTCTTGTTTAGATTGAACAACAGTCCAAACCACAGTTTAGTATCATACACGTGAGGAAAAGGCATCGCATTTTAAAAGCTGAAGCCTACAAATGTTTCTGGCTGATTTTACTTACATGCCAGATTTTATTTTTTTTTAATTGAAGCTACGAAATACCCATGTTTTTAATATATGTCATCACATGTATCCATGGACCACTTGGCTTTAAAAAAAAAAATGATTCACAGAGATTTCCGTTTTGGAATCATCTCAAAGTTTGATTAAAATGGCTCAAAGTTCAGTTATAAATACTCGCACTGAATTAAACAACAACTCCTGCAGGTTCTTCTCGGACACAACAACACTACAGAAACTGCTTGCAGAGTTAAATTCTTTATCTGGTTTCTGTGCTCACAAACAATTTTACATTTTCTAAACCAGGTGCTTCCCTAACCGCGGTTACTTCTGTGCCAAAATAATTTTCCAATATAGCCTCCCATCCCACATGGTGGCATGACACTTCAGAGTTGAAACAAAACGCACTTTTTTTAGGTTTTCTCCAATGAATTAGCAGAAAACTTCAAAGTTCAAATATCCAGGGTGCCTTTTTTCTGTTCCTCTATGTCACTGACACGAAACTGATGCAGTTATGCATCACTACGGTGATGCATAGTTTAATTATGCACTGCAGAATTAAACTATGACATAACACATAACCCGATGTTCAAATTTTTAGAAGAAAATATGTTGTAATAACACAAAATTTGGCTTTAGACTGTGACACTCTGACAGGTGTAAAATAAATCTGCCTGCGGGGTATCTCCTGCACTTAGTAAGTTCTGATGAGTAAATAAAGCCAAATTTCCATCCACCCCTGAATTTCCAGGGGCTGACACTTGGTAAGATTTTCAAATTGTGAAGGTAACATTTTGTATAGCTTCATTAAATATACTATGCAATTAAAAGCAGCTGATTCTGAGGGGGTCAGATGGGACCTTTGGCTGATTTTATATGACCACATTACAATGCAAAACCCTGCCTAAATGAAACAAAAGTGTAGATAAACCCTGTTTTATTCTACTTTCATCCAGTTTCTGTTTTTGTGTCGGTTAACTAAAATGTTTTTGCACACTTAGTTTAGTTTCAGTTTGCTTTAATAACCTTGGCTGACCGCTGCTTGAAGCAGGAGCGTGCATGTTATTTAAACTCCGCTGCAGTCAGCAAAGCTATGCATGCACAACACTTGATAACTTTTGAGCAGCGTGTATGTCAACATGAAAAGCATGCAAAGCCGAAAAGGCGAAGGCGCAGGGCTATTATGCAGCAGCTGCCGTGAGGGTTGGCAGAGGGGAATAAGTTTGGAGAAGGACTTACATAACCTGTTTACACACTAATACCAGGTCACAAGTGAGCAGTGACAGATATAAAGCTTGCTGGCATCGATTCATATCACAAGCACATGGAGACAGGCACGAATCTGCAGCTCCAGCAGAGAGCCGTCACTCTATCACAAGCTGGAGGGGATTTCAATAGTTTAGGCTCCTACACAACCAAAACAGTATGACAAAAAACACCTTTCAGGGAGTGAGGAGTTCTTATTTATTTTATTTCATTTTTTTTAATACAGCGATTGCAACTGCTCCAACAGCTGAGTGTCCAAACATAGCCATAATGTCAGAAGTGACACGGTCGGGCCCGTTCAGGAGTTGTTCAGCCCTCCAGCTGTCACACCTGACAGCGAGGTAAACACGCCCTCTGGCTGTGCACACGCCAAGATATCCCACAGCTCCGCATACTCAAACAGCTCCAACACGAAGCCCAAACACGGCTAAACCTGCAGCGCTCTCCGAGCACGCCGCTGGATTTGTTTGGCTAGCGGCTGTGAGGCGCGAGCCGCCCGGGCAGCCACCAAGGCGGACTGCGGGGGAGAGCACTTGGCACGAATACGAGCGGATTTAAGTGCTAAATTAAACCCGGGAGAGCACGGAGAAGGTGGCAGCAGCACAGAAACAAAGTGAGACCTGACATTACCTTCATTCGGGGGCGGTAGAAGACGGGTTATTGCGGGAATTGGCAGCGACATGCAGACGCGGCTGTTGAACCCGTTTAGACCCTGAACGTCTCGGAAACAGAGGGAAGAACAACAAACGCCGTTTCCGCTCGTGCTCGCACACACACACCGACCACGCACCCACCCAGGGCTTCTTCTTCCTCTTCTTCCTCTTGTTAACTTTGGTGCATTAGCGCCACCAACTGGTAGGGACTGGAGGCCACAATGTCGCTCAAAAAACAAAACTAAATAAATAAATAACTTCAAACCAGTTTTTATAACTAAATATGACCTGATAACTTTGATTTCTGAATTTCCATTGCAGTAAATCGATAAGATCTGTTTTAACTTTGATTACACTGAGTTTTTGGTTTTGGATCAGCTACCTTCGCTCACCTTCATATTTCTGACATATAACATGTTCCCTGGTTTCATCATTTCAACAATACTCCCATTGCAATTACCTGTTTGGTGTTTTCCTGCTATGAACGATTAATTGTTTTAACCACTGTCTCGTGAATTTGAGTCGTGATGTATCCCAGTCCTTTCTGTCATCCTCTCCTGTTTCTTTTCCTGTAAAACCATCATCCTCTCGTTTCTCCCTTTCAGTGCTTTTCCCAGTTTTCCTTCTTTGGCTGCCTCATTATACCTCCTTTGCAACCACATTTTTGGGGTAGCTGTGGCTCAGGAAGTAGAGCTAGTTCGAGGTTCGATCCCTGGCTGCTCTAGTCTGCATGCCAAAGTATCATTGGGCAAGATACGGAGCCCGAGTTGCTCCTGATGCATTCAGGAGTGTGAATGTGTGTGGATGTAAGACAGAAAAGCACCTAAATGTAAAAGAAAGTGTTTGCATGAATGTTTGTGAATGGGACATGTTGCACAAAGTGTGTGAGTGCTTGAGCAGAAAAGCACCACATAAGAACCAGTTCATTTGCCCTGTTATTTCCTTTTACTCCATAATGTGCTGATATCTGTGAAAAGGTAACCATAAGCCCATCATACTGATTCTGCATAGCAACTGCTGAATCTCTGTTAGAGTGTCTGGTCTGCTGTCTGATTAACTGCAGTGTTACTGTACCTGCAACGCTGCTGCTGGGCTGTTTAAAATGCACCTGTGCAAAGCCTTAAACCCTAAATGCAGGTAAACTTTAGGAAGATGTTTTTCCTCATTAGCACCAGGATGAGATGAGCCTTCAATAGAAAAAATGATTTAACCCTGAAAATGATGGACCACCTGCATCATCAAACTTCATGGCAGTGACGTTACTGTATCCTCAGGCAGAAAAATCATGTCCTGTTTGAACACTAGATGTCAGCACGGGTCCAAAATATGTTTCTTATGAAAACTGACACTATAAATACACCAGAAATTATTCTTGTGAAGGGTAAAAATATCAGATGTACACTGAAACCATTATTGTACATCGGACTGACTCGAGAAAAACAAAAACATTATTCACTGAGTGTTGCAACAGTTTCATCATAATCCGGAATAAATCACTTAAAAAACAGAAAGTCAGTGGGCAACAACTAAAAAACACTTCCTCTACGGTTAGAGACTTTTCACTGTGTAGAAACCTACACTGAAAAGCGGATGCGTGTTGTCATATTTTACCGCTTTTTTCTAATTTGATGGCTTGTTTTACATGCAAATATTATAGCTTCCAGTTGCTCAACAGTGTTAGATATTCTTTTTTAATGATGCTCCAAATGTTGTCACCCGGTGAAAGGTCTGGACTGCAGGCAGGTCTGTTCATCACCGGGACTCTTCTACTGTGTCGCCATGCTGTTGTACTCAGTAAGTGATTTAGCACTGACTTTCTGAAACATGCAAGGCCTGTCCTGAAAAACACACTGCCGGGACGGCAGCATATGTTGCTGTAAAAACTCTATAAGCCTGTCAGTAGTGATGGGAACTTTCCAGGTGTTTAAACTGAGAATTCCATAGACAGCGATTCAACTCAATACAGCCAATCTTTTTGTATATAATAATTTTTGGGGACCCCTAAAGAAGTCTTACTTTGATCCAAAGGAAAAGCAGCTGTGTTTTAATCCTACTTTAAACGGTTTTTGTTCGTGGAGGTTTCGTTCATGAAGCATAGAAATGATGTGTAGGCATGAACCTCTTTGCATTTGTTACGGCTAAATTTCACAGTTCTGTTTTGTAACCGCAGCCTGAGTTCACTACGACAAGCTTTATTTTCTCTCTCACCACAAGGTCATCCTGCATCATTAAACTGAAGGCCGCTGCAAATCTGGAAGATTGATTTTTTTTATTTGTTATTTTTCCCTGCCCACTTGCTCTTCCTTAATAAATTCACTGAGATGTTTCTCTTTTACCCTGTACATGACATGCTGGAATAGTAAATACATCAATACCTCCCCTGTAGAATGATGATGAGTATATTCGGTTTGCTGCAGAAACAGGTCCACCACCTGATTCTTACAAATTTGCACTTTGAAAGCAATTCCCGATCACTGCTATGCTCATTAACGCATTCTCTATTTTCTATCCAGTAAAATGATCAGATACTGGAGCTTTTGTGTTTCCTGACTTTTGTTGCCCCTTTTAGCAGGATGAAATCGTTCAAAGGGACAGAAAATTCTTTGCTGTGCAAGATAATGATAAATATGTTACTTCGTTTTGACCCACACTAAAACAATATAATACTACATCTGCTTTTCCTCTTGCATAATCACAAGAATTGTAATTTACATACATGCCCATCCTATTGTCTGTCATCTTAGCAGTGCCACTCTAAGAAATGAGTGACTTTAGGTACTTTAAAAGCATTTTGATTGTAGAACTTGTGCACTATTAAGCTACTTATGTAGAAATATAACATTTATTTTTTTTTAAAGTTGACACTTTTTGCTTTAAAGTATTCATTGAGTACTATAAAGTACTCATTTTCCACAGTGATTTTATTTGTGAGTAAATATTCAGATCTCAAAGACGCCAAGAAAACAATTCCAAACCCGTTATGAGCTGATATTTATTACTTTCCCTTAATTAACTGCTTTATTATTCATTCAGTTATAGTTTAAGAGTTACAGCACAGAGGAGCCATTTATATTTGATTAATTTCAAAGATTTCAGAAAGGATGCACATTTTAATGTATGCTAAAAACTGCTGCAATGGAAATATCTGCAAATTGGATTAAATATTCTACATGTGGCCAGTTTATCAATAAGACAGAGAAACTGCACCACTGAATCTTTATTTTTATTACATCCTTCTCCGTGTGCAAATTTAAGAAACAGGGTTACACAGATAAACAGAAAAGAGAGGCAGGCGTGAATGACACAAGCGTGAAGGAGAAAGCGGGTTTCTTCTTCTCGTCTTCAGGTGGACGCTCAGTTAATCGTCTCCTCCACAGATGGCCTTCACACACTCACACTGGTCGCCCGACAGATCTGACTGGAGGACACATCAACACAAGCAAAGAGTCAAGCATCCAAAAGCACATCCCACGTTCGGTCTGGACCACTGCAGGTTTTTTTGTACCACACTTTTGTTCTGTTTTTTGTGTCAGCGAGATCAGTGAATGTGCAGCAATGCCTGTGAGCCAAAACTTTGATTGCAAGAACAGAAACTCCAGCCACCTGTTGTTCAAACCTTCAAATCAGAATAAATAAGCTTAAAGGAACGATCGTCTTAAAGACAGAGGAGCTAAAACAGCTTCAGGCAGAGGGTGAACTGAGGGGCCCAGGACAAGATATTATACTGGATTATTTTAATCTCTGAATCATGGCAAACTACTCTTGTACAGTCCAAAAAAAAAAGTAAAATATGTTGGTGAAGCAGGCAAAACAGACCACCTTTAACTTCTTAACATGTGCCAGGGCATCAGAAAAGTGTCCAATGTAACCACATGATGAATAAAAACAGTTTCAGAAGACTTTCAAATCAACTCTCGCACACATTTCGGCCTTAGAGATTTTGCATTAATAGATCCATTTGCTATATAATTTCATATAAGGGGGCAATAATGACCCTGACTGGCCTGTCTCAAGCTCTCTGTGTTTTCAGGGGGACAGCGGTGTCAGAGAAAACACTGCATTAAAAAAATTAGAACACTTTTCTGCAGTGAAGCATGGTGGTGGAATCATCATGATATAGGACGACTTCTTAGCAGGAGGAACAGGGAAATATTAGGAAATGATGAATGTAACAAAATACAGAGAAGTGCAGCAACTTGAGGCACTTCCTGGTGCCTCTCCAACTCCAGGAGAAGATGAACTCAAATCTGACTGTCCTTAGGTGTTCTACAGAAACTCTGTAGAGTATCTCAAAGATAGCATATAAAGTTCGGGGGGATCTGACAGGAAGAAGGGGATCAACTGCCAAAATCCAGGTCAAGCTGGGAGTTGTTAAGTAGTTAAAAAAAGTTAAAAACATATCTTCACTATTTAATTCTGACCAGAATTGACAGCAAATGTATCCAGTAATATTACAGTCACAGCGCAAAGTGTGAAAAAGATCAAAGGCTCTGATGCTTTCTCAGGAAACTGTAAAACTGGTCTGTTTTTTAAGTATCTGGGCCAAGTAACACTTGGTGTGTCAGAAGAAGCCTCAACTCCTCCAGGAACGCCTTACAGGCCAAATCGTCTTCTGCTGTATTTTTTTTAACATGATAGAGAAATGACCGGCCAAGGATTTTACCTGGTTACAACCTGTTTTTCCTCATGTCTTGTCTTGTGTTTTGGCCAAACAGTCTAATCTTATGTCCTCATTTTTATACATTATATATATTATATTGTATGTATATATATTTTATACATACAAGTTCTTTGAAATCCAGTAACAGATTTAATATACATCTGACAAAGCATCGTAGCTTTGGGGGTCCAGCGCCTGTCACTGAGGTCACTACATGTGTGGACTCACTCCCTGCATCTCTCTGTTTTGAGATGCAAGCGCATCTCAAAACAGAGGATAAAAATAAAACATATAAAACAAAACATATAAAAATAAAACATATAAAATAAAACATATAAAGCAAAAAACATAAAATAAAACATGCCTCTCATGCTTTATTTGTTTCATGAAGCAGTAAAATTATATGAGCAGTAGTGAAGCTTGCAAACGAGGCAACTGGACTGCTTTAAGTTTGTGAAGATGTTTCACTTCTTACCCACGAAGCT